TAGATATATATATATATATATATATATATATATATATATATATATATATATATATATAAAATTTCACAACAAATCTCCACCCTCCAATGTCCTGATGCATGCTCAAAATTCCAGGTAGATAAATATAACAAGGTTGCATCAGGTTGTCTGGAAGGTTCTTCTTCTTCGCTGAATCGTTTCGGGGTTTTTTTTTATCCAAAAGACCTTTAGCCTGAGCAGCTGCAACAAACTCTGTCTTAGCAGCACCTTCTCATATTGGATCAACCAGTTTGCTGGTGACAGCCAAAACTAGTTGCTCACATGTAAAAGGAGGACCATCAGCCTAACAACCGATCGTTAGTGCCCTGATGGCCATTTTATCTTCACAGAAGGCTGATTTATATTTGCAATAGCAGCATTGTAAGAAGGGGACAGTTGAACATGGAGGCCTCTGCCCGTTTAAGGATGGACAGGTTTTCTTAAACAACTACTTTTGGCTGTCACCAGCAAACTGGTTGATCCACTATGAGAAGGTGCTGTTTATAAGATTGAGTTTGTTGCAGCTCTTCAGACTGAAGAAGTCTTTTGGGTAAAAGACTAAACATTGCAACAAAGAAGAACCTGTCTAGAGGACCTGACTCAACCTTAGATCCACCCTCCAATAATCCTTTTTCTTCTTTTCTTCTTTACTTTGTAGGAAACTCATCATCTGGGTTGAGAGACCTCTTCCTCTGTGGGCACTGCAGGTCAGCTATATCTGTACATTCCTGTGTAAACAAGGTCAGGTTTTTCTTTTTCTTTTCTTTTTTCACTTATTTATTTTTTGCACTCACATAAAGACAAACATTTCAGCCACAATTTAAGGACCAGCTGTCACTGAATCAGATCTGACTCTTTGGAGGTGGGAGAGAGCGACAGGATCAATGAAAAGCATCGTGCAGAAATATAAACAAATCTGCTTCTGGACAGTTTGGGTCAAGCTGTTTCTGAGCAGTTCTTGTGGTGTGATGGAAACAGTTCTGATGGAGGAGACTGCAGACATTATGGAGTCCCATTTTGATGGCAAGATGTGCCTGGTCAGCCAGTTAAGCAGAGCAACTGCTTGATCAACTGTCCACACACCCCCTATCAGTGGTTTTATGATCATAGCTGACTGATATACAGCAGGCCTGCCACAATAACAAATTTTGCTGGGTGATTTGCTGGGTCTCAGAAATTATTGCGATAAATGATAATATTGCTTGAAATTCGACAATAATTAGTAATTAGGGTCACATTTAAGAAGAAATTGTGGTTAATTTTTGTGTGTAGTATCTTTATTGACCACTGGATGGCAGTATGAGACTGTTTGAACCGAAGGATAGATAGTGAGAGAGGGAGCAGCGTGTCTCTAAGAAAATGGGAAGGAGGCCCTTTGACGTGACATGGGCTGTCTCTCTTTCTTGTTTTTTGGTTCTCAAAATGGTAGATGCTCAGTGTGGTTTGAGCTCTTTAGCATAGCATTTGTCACACAAAGCTTTAATTAAAAAAAAAAAAAAAAGTTCTCAGCTTCTTTTTGCAGAAAAAAACAACTTTTTAGACCAAGGCACAGGTTTCAACTGGGAATTTTTGGAGTTTTGACAAGATGGAGGTTTTTTCCCAGAGGTCGACCTGCTGGCTTAGCTCGTAGCTTAGCTTCTCAGCTTAGCTACTTTTAACGATCCAAAAACACGACTTTTGACAGTTAAAACAGATTTCAAAGAGAAAGGGAGGGGTCCGTAAAGAGCACCAGAGTTGAGCCTTTTGTCATCCAGTGTCTTCAGTAGAAAGAGAGACACACGAAGAAACGATAAAGCCGATAAATGAAAATGAGGTTGATAATTTTCATTTATCGTGCAATGAATTGATTTATTGTTTGTCGCAACAGGCCTAATATGCAGGTGCATGCCAAAATGTTTGCGTTCCCTTCATTGTGTTATAGGGAAATTAAATTGGCGTAATGTCGTTTCATGGTTCTACCACCAAGCTCAGATAATTACAGCTGGCATGCATTTACATTTGCAAAACCGACTGCATGCTAATACTTTGTACACATAAATGTATAAAATCAGACACCAGAAATGTCTCTTGGTTCATTTAAATCTATTCCCTCTAAAGCAAAAAACCACGAGCCCTCCCACTGATTCCACCCACACTCTCCATTTCTGCGATCCTTAATTTCCTTCTGCTCTGGTCTCTACCTCGTCTCCGCTCTGTCTCTGCACAATTGTCTCTTACTCTCCCTCTCTCTCTTGCAGGTGCTTGTGGCTTTCATCAGCTTCTCAGAAACCATGTTGCTTGTGTATCTCAGCTACAAGGTGAGCCACTCAGGGCCCTCATCGGCCACTCGGAAGCCTTTAGTGATTTCTGCTGCTATGATGTCAATGTATGTGTGTGTAAGTGTGTGTGTGTGAAGGGGGATGGGTGTAGACAGATGTGATGTGTTTGAGGATGTTGTTTGTCCTTTTTGTACACCTCTGTGTTTTCACAAACAGATTGTCATTTAGTACATTGGTTATCATCAATGTTATCTTTGCTCCTGCAGCTGGAGGCCCCTTTTTACAATGTTTTCTTATGTGTCATAGGGACTTTGGGGGATGCCCGTGTGTTTAGGCAGTGGGTGGTGGGGCAATCCATCAACAGGCTGCCCTGCTTTTGATGTACTTGACACTATAAGCCTATGAAGGGCTCACTCCACAGATTACTCTAGAGGCTTGAGGCCTTAGCATTTAAAGCTGAATGATTCCTGTGGACACAAACTGTGACTGTCCACCTACACCAGTCAGACTCAGGTCAGCCACATCCAGGCAGCAAATACATAAAATCAACCATGCCTGGCATCTCAGCTGAACAGCGTGGCTTAGCGGAGACAGAGTAATGCTGCTTCTAGGCAGTTGTATAACCTGTGTACATCTCGATCTCTTCTGTGGTGCAAAAGCTTGTCCATTTACCCTGTTTCCACCGTAAGCCATGAGGTTTGTCATGTGCTAATCGCTTAAGGTCATCGGGACAATGAAGCTTCCTGACCCTCCTGTGTGGTTTGTGTTTCCAGGGCAACGTTTGGGAGCAGGTCTTACGTGTCCCGTTCATTCTGGAGATGATCAGCACCGTTCCCTTCATGATCACTGTGAGTGCAGAGATAAGCATCGTTGAGCACTGATACCGCAGGAAGTCTCTCCGTCAGCCATTTGTTTTGGTTCATACAAGGCTATTTCTGTGGCAGCGACACACTGATGGTGTCACAGCAACTGATATAATCCCCCTCTCGCTAGAGACTTAAAGAGGATGTGGAGCATAATAAAACGGTGATGTGACAGGGAGTCAAGTGAGCTTTTTCTTCTTGACAGGTGATTCTGCCCTCCCTGAGAAATCTTTTCATCCCTGTATTTCTCAATTGCTGGCTGGCCAAACATGCTCTGGAGAACATGATAGTAAGTGAAGCACTTCATCCTGAACTGGTTTTTTCCATTGCTGCCAGTTCACCTCCTGTCATTTGGCTGACATGCAGCTCCACTACTCCTCACGATTCAGTCCACCGGCTTCACTTTAAACGCTCTGCTGTGAAAGTAAACCTGTCAGAAAATAAACAAATACTCCCTGCCTCCATCTCTACATCTAACTTGGGCTGCTTCCCATGTTTCATGGAGAAATTTTATGTTAGCTTCTTTACATGGTTCAATAATTTATGATTTTAATCTCGTACTGTCACAAATTTAATAATCCATCAATTCTTTCCAACATGTATTATAATTATTTGCAATTTTCCCATCCTTCCCTCTGCAGAATGATCTCCACAGGGCGATCCAGCGGACACACTCAGCCATGTTTAACCAAGTGGTGATCCTCATCAGCACCCTGGTCTGTCTTATGTTTACATGGTGAGTACCACCTTTCTTGGCACCAAACTGAGAAGGGATGCGGCAGCAAGCAAAGAAAAGCTGGATGTTAGATGGAGATTGAACAGAATGTGAACTGTGTCAGAGAAAAGGGTGAGATGAGCTGTAAAGATAGTGTGATACAGGCAGAAAAAAGTCATATAGGGAAGCGCTGGAGCTGAGAAAGAATGTCAGAAAGCAGGGAGGTAATTGGTTATTGTCCGAGTGGAATGGTGCTCTGTAATGACGGCAGGTGATTGCTTCAGTGCAGTGGAGGATGTGGGGCAGAAGCCTGAGAAATCAAGGATGTCCTTTACCTGCAGCTTGAGTCAAGCTTTCCGACCACTTTAGGCTTGACATTTGCTGGTTGGCACATTTATCAGCTAAAGATGGTCATAATCGCCACACTTTCGTGCACAAACTCCCAACAAAGATGTCCAAGCACGCAGACGCCCCCATCTTTGCACATAAAAAGTCACAGATATTTGCCCAGGTGTGAAAAAGATTTCTCATGAATAATGGCTCCCAGGAGCGCCTATGCCTCTCACAGCGTGTGGCTGATGCTCACTTGTCTTCACCGTCTTCGTCATTCCCATCCCTCCAACCCCCCCCCCCCCCCCCCCCATCATTAGCATCTGCGGCATCCAGCACCTCGAGAGAGCAGGAAACAACTTGACCCTGTTCCACTCGCTCTACTTCTGCGTGGTCACCTTCTCCACGGTGGGCTTCGGAGATGTCACCCCTCAGATCTGGCCCTCGCAGCTCCTGGTCGTCATTATGATCTTTGTGGCGCTCATTGTTCTTCCCATCCAGGTGAGATCAAGGGATCAATGGAGAAGCTTAAGCCGGAGTTTTGTTGTGATCTGAAAGCTAAAAGCCACTGTATTAAACATTTCAAACATCAGATACTGCAATCAAACAACCAGTTTGCATTTAATTTCAGATCAACACAAGTGTGTTTAAAATGACTGGGGACTGTAATGTAATGTAAGCGGGACGGCTCTGCCACCTTCAAAATCTCATTAATTTTCTTTGATGTGCTGAAGAACATTAAAGTTGTCTCCCTGATCTTTAATAGTTCTTGTCTCCCCCTTCACACAATACCCTGATGACTCATTGCATCCTACATAGATTTATAACACTATTTTTATTCTCAGAGCGACAAGAGACTCTTTCATACTCACTCAATTTCCTAAATCTCTTCCCCGTCTTTGAGCTGCTCCATAAAGCAAAAATCATGGCAAAGAACCACATGAGTTGTTTACACAGAAAAAATTGCAATAACACCTTTTGATATGCGTCCACTCGACTGCGTCCCAGTGGTCGGTTTTTGAATTTGCGTAAACTTTTCATCCCTGGGGCCGCTGCCACACCTGAGTTTCTTCCAGAACATGTGAGGATGCTAATAGGAGCCATTTTCTCTGTCGTACCTCCAATTAAAAGAGTTCTCTCTGGGCAGAGAAAAAACAAACTAATAAATCACAAGTGATGCTAAATGCTGCTGTTAAATGTTCATTTTCATTTTGTTTCTTGATGACAACTATTAAGACATTTTAATATTTAATGAGCTCAGATTACATTTAAATCTTCATAATAATTAATTTACCAAAAGTAACAAATGCAAATACTCTGGGGTTTTTCCCATCCATGTTTAAATATGTTGAGCATCACAGTCATGTTATTTGGGAAGTTATTTCAAATAATGCATGTTTGAAATAAACTTTGCTAAAGTAATCTCACACAGATAAATTCTTATTTTCAATATCAGCGATCCAACTTTTACTATTTGTTGAAAAAAAAAAACATCCTAAAGATCCAATATGCTGATTCTTGTACCCATTTAAAAAACCACATTTTGTTATTTAAAATGTTTATGTTTTAGCAATAAGCTTCATTATACTGGATGACATAAAAAACTGTGGTGGATGTTTGTTCAAAACATTCATGAAAATAAAAAAGGCATGAATGAATCTTTGGTGCAGTTTTAACAGAGGTTAAACACTGAAAACAAACATCGTCTACATGTCAGACTGTAGGGATCTGTACTGTTAGTTTAAGTTATGAAAAGAAAAATTGACAAAAACGAATAAATAAACAAAACATACATAATTGTACCATGTCATTGAAGGCTTTTAATTAAAATCTTAAGTGCAGTATCTGAATATCTGACTTGTTTGTGGTTTTACTCATTTTAATATTTGTTAATATTTGAAATGTATTTGAAATTAAAAAAAATATTAAAAAGTGGATAATTATTTGATTGTTTTTCACAACAGCTGGATTGCAGATATATGAAATTGTGGGTTTTGTTTTAATTTTTTTCTTTAAGAAGTATGGCCATTCTAGAAAAAAAAAATTGTGGACTTAGAGGAGTTACACATTTTTGGAAAGATTAAATATAATTAATTTTTTTTCGGCTGTTCCCTTCTTCAGGGTTCACCACAGCGAACTGCACAAAAACTTGGCAATTTATTTATTTTACGCCGGATGCCCTTCCTGAAGCAACCACAGACCACCAAGCTACCAAAGCCCTCTGTGTGGAGCAGAGAGCTGCTATCTAGGGCACACGGGGGAGCAGATGGTGGGGGTTAAGGGCCTTGCTTAAGGGCCAAGAGTGGGGCAAATGAGGGTGGAGGCAGGTGTGGGTGCTTCACCTATCTCACACACATTTTAATGTTGTTGGTACCGGGAGTTGAACCAGCGATCTTCCAATCACAGGCCCACCTTCTCTAACCTCTGCACTACCACTCCCTATTAAATAGAATTTTGTAATGTTTTAAAATATAAAGAAAAATTAATGTTCAAGGAATCTTATTAGTGAAAATGAAGCTTCAGTGTAAACATGAGTTATAAATATTTATGTCTAAATCTATTTACTGAGAATTATAATGGCCTTTTGTAGAAATAAAATTATACATTCCTTAATGTGTAGTTTGACTAATGCAATTAGTAATTATAGATTTTGCTCAATAACATTTTGATGAGCAAAACTGTTCTTTTTTTTTGGCAAAAAAAGACTATTGAAGATATCTAAGAAGTATTTACAGCCAGTATTGTTTTGTTTTAAAAATCATGAAACTGCTTGCCATTGCTCTGTATGTGGGACTGCGTCCTACGCCTGCATCACGGACCAGCTTTTGATAAAGCTCCCACTGTGTTTCAGCTGCAGCTTGAACAATTGCAAATGTCTTCAAAGCCCTCAGAACAATAAAAAAAAAACTTAAGCATAAAAACAATTTACTAAAACTGTACGTGTCGGCTCATAAAATAAGGGTTTTCTCCTAAACATAAGCATGGCCACCACCTCCCTGCTCCCTCTCTCCATCTTTCATCCTTAAATACCCCATGACATTTAGACTATGGCCCCTGCTAGCCCCAGCTCCAGCCCCCACCCTAAATGTGTGTTGGTGTGTTAGTTGTACATTTGTGTGTGTGCCCCTCTATTTAACCCACAATCCAGTCATGACCGACATGATTTAGAGCAAATTTAAGTTTAGAAATGATTCTGATTAGAAAATATGGTAATTTTATTTGATTACAACTCAGTTTCATCATATTGTACTTGAAACATTTTTTGATATCTTCTGATAGAGGCTTGATTGTTACATCAGTAATCTACCGTTGTGATGTAGCTGTGCATAAACTACCAAAAAATAAAACCCAATAGTCTTACAGCTCTGTCAGTCCAGACGATGGGTTCAAACATTCATTTGTGACATTAACTCATCTCAACACAATCTGATTTATCTGAGGCAAAATGGAGGCTCACCAATAAATAAATAAATAAATAAACTGCTCACAGCATGAGTCATCTTTACTTGTTAATTGCCAATCATGGCAAGAAATGTTGCAAGACCTCCATCACAGTTGGCCCAACGTTCAATGCATCAGTTTGTCACCAGTTCTATGATAAATAAAGTGATAGTTTGGTCATTTTAGAAGTGATGTACATAGCTTTTCAGATTTAGAGAAACAAAGATTAATAATAATAATGATAATAATATGTTATGTATTGTCATCATAGGCAGCACGGTGGCGCAACTGGTAGAGCTGCTGCCTCTCAGCGAGCAGGTCCCTGGTTCAAACCCCGGTCCAGGGGCCTTTCTGGGTGGAGTTTGCATGTTCTCTCCGTGCATGCGTGGGTTTTCTCCGGGTACTCCGGTTTCCTCCCACAGACCAAAAACATGCATGTTAGGCTGATTGGTAACTCTAAATTGTCCCTAGGTGTGAGTGAGAGAGTGAATGGTTGTTTGTCTCTGTATGGCCCTGTGATGGACTTGCGACCCGTCCAGGGTGTACCCCGCCCCTCGCACAGTGATTGCTGGACATGGGCACCAGTGACCCCCGTGACCCAAAATGGAATAAACGGGTAAAGATAATGGATGGATGGATGGATGGATGGATGGATGGATGGATGGATGGATG